CAAAACCAACGACTCAATTAACTTACATCGCGATAACTTGGTCGCGCTATGCGCCAACGCACATTCACGCCCCTCCGACACACGCTCCAATACATTTTCGCACACCATCAGGCCATATGCCAAAGAACGAACACTACAATTTTTACTCTCGACATGATTGAGAACCCATTTCGACATGGCCCCCACATCGACTCGAGAGTGGGGGGCTTAATGATATGCCTAATTGGGCCAACCCAATGGGCCTACAATTTATTTACCTACTGGGCCACGAGCCCAATATCGAAGATCATTATCACCGAGGCCCAATCACCTTCAAGTAAGGTTCGGGCCCGACAATCTCAATTAAGCTATAAATAAAGGTCTGAACTCATTCCTTAAGGTACGTCCTATTAACTGAGCAATACTACAATACGTATTCTCTGGACTATTTCTATGATCAGCACGTCTGACTTGAGCGTCGGAGGGGTTTCCGCCGGATCAACCCCCGGCTTAGTTCATGTGTTCTATGATCGCAGGTGCCTCAGGATCATCAAGTTGTCAAGCTACTGATCTGCTTTGCTCTCCCAGTTCATTTTCTACACTACCTCAGGTGATCTAAGTAATTAGCATCATCAAAAGTATATTAAAATCTACCGTTAAGGCATCCATGTTACATGATCAACATCAATTGCCAGTATATATTATGGTGGATATTTATGCATTCAAATCATTTGCAAAACATCATATTTGTTTTTAAAACATTAGAAATTAAAAAGAAAATGATTAATTAGAACATAAAAAAAGTTACATGTACCAGTAGTAGTGGATGAGCATGTGATTCTTTAAAAACTTTAATCAATATTGAAGAAGGCAAATGAAAAAAACGGAGAGAATATTAGAAGTATATCTAATGAGTTTTCTTGGTTTGTTTTATTTTTTGACATTCCTAAAGATAATCGGATAGAATGTTCATGTATTCCTATTAACTAATGAGTTGTTAATGATATTTATTGTCATTAACTGTGTTAGAAATAAGTCACTATATGTTAAATAACATAAAAAAAAATTGCGTTTTGCAGTTACAAAGCCTTGAAAGTAAAGTGAGGGAATACAAATAGTTGCAAAGAAATAACTTGGCAAACAAATAACTTGAATGTTATTATTTATTTTAAATCAGATGGTATAGTTATTTAGCTAATTAAGCAATATTACGAAATTACCCTTCAAATAAACCTAATTGAAGGGGCATATCTGTAAGTACAAAAAATGGAAGAAACCTCACCCAAGATTCACACTTTTATAGATAGTATAGATTATCTCCAAGTTTCATTAATTAAAGTTCAAGCCCTCTTTCTCAAGAGACTTGAACTTTTCTTTCAAGTAGCACGAAATTTCCATTTATTTCATTTTCATTCCAAGATATTCGAACCATCAACAATTCAATCACACAAAATTCCATTTTTATTAATCTTGTTCCCGGTTTTTATCTTCATATATTATCTTATTACTCATAGATCATAAACCATGGATCGTAAGCTTCCTCGACCCTCTTACTCCTCTTTCGGATGGGAGATACCTCGTCTTACTCTTCTTTCGGATGGGAGATACCGCGTCTTACTCCAGTACGACCGATACCGATCGCACTCCTCTTTCGGATGCGAAATATCTCGTCTTACTCCTCTTTCGGATGCGAGATACCTCGTCTTACTCCAGTGCGACCGATACGATCGCACTCTTCTTTCGGATGCGAGATACCTCGTCTTACTCCAATGCGACCGATACCGATCACACTCCTCTTTCAGATGCGAGATACCTCGTCTTACTCCTCTTTCGGATGAGATACCTCGTCTTACTCCAGTGCAACCGATACCGATCGCACTCCTCTTTGGGATGCGAGATACCTCGTCTTACTCCTCTTTCGGATGCGAGATACTTCGTCTTACTCCTCTTTCGGATGCGAGATACCTCATCTTACTCCAGTGCGACCGATACCGAGCGCACTCCTCTTTCGGATGCGAGATACCTCGTCTTACTCCAGTGCGAACGATACCGATCACACTCCTCTTTCGGATGCGAGATACCTCGTCTTACTCCTCTTTCGGATGCGAGATACCTCGTCTTGCTCCAGTGCAACCGATACCGATCGCACTCCTCTTTGGGATGCGAGATACCTCGTCTTACTCCTCTTTCGGATGCGAGATACATCGTCTTACTCTAGTGCAACCGATACCGATCGCACTCCTCTTTCGTGCGGGGTCGATTCCGACCCTGTCTTTTTGGTAACGCGGCCGATACCGGCCACGGTCTTTACGTCGTGCGAGGTCGATTCCGACCCCGTCATTTCGATAGCCTATGGTTTCTCTTTCCACAAAAAAACCAACATCCATTAATAAACAAATAAATATACATATATTCAAGGTTGTAAAAAGCGGTAATCGGCTCCGAGTCGGTCAGGCACCGACTCACGATTAATCCATGCGGCGGTGATTAATCGGTGATAAATCGGAAATAAATCGATTTTTAAAATTTAATATAATATATTTCTAAATATTATTTATAAATACTCCAAACATATATAAAAAGATATTTAAACATAGTTATATCCCCATCATGTATATATCCTAATAACATAATAAAAGTTTAATAATTATAAGATCATAATACATAAATATCCTTATAAAATATAAATAAAAAAACATTTTTTTTTTGAATTTACATTTATTCTTGAACATTCTTGGCATACATCATTAGTTCTTTAACAATAACAATTAACATAAACAAAATAAGGCATAAACTCATATTTTCTTTTATTAAAATCCAACTTTTATTTTGAATTATAAAAAGAAAAATAAATAAAAAATAAATAAATAAACCGATTTTTAACCGATTTTTTGCCGATTTTTGCCACCGAGTTTGACCCGCCTTAAAGGTTTGACCGCCTCAGACCGTCTCGGACCGCCTCAGACCACCTAAAACCGCCTCACAGGCAAAAAACCGATTTTTCAAACCTTTACACTAAAATCGTAAAGGTTTTAGACCACCTCCGCCTCGGAGACCGATTAATCGGCCGCCTCAGCCGATTTTTAGAACACTGCATATATTTACTTATATAGAAAAGCTGTGGATCTGTACTTTACCCACACACTAGAACATACACACATAATCATCAACAGGGAAAGAAAGAGAGTTAGAGATATGATATATATACAATTTTCGTCTGCACAACTCGGGTTCTGGCTGAATCAGTCATCTTTTTCTCTCTTTTTTTATTTTTAATAATTATTAAACAGTTTTAACTATTAAATATTTCCCACTAGCTGAAGTTGACAGAAAATGGAAGCAAAGCACCTAACCTCCACCGTAGGGTGATGTGGGCCTAGTTGAAATGGAGTCATCACTAGGTCCGGGAGCCTCGGTTGGTGGGGCTGGTGAGCTGCCTAGCGCCGACGCCCGAGAAGGAGCGCCGTGCTTCTCGCTCTTCTTCGTGCTCGGTGCTGGCGCCCTGGTTAGTGACTCGATGGGCGGAGCAGATGCCGGCGGAGAGCTCACAGGCGTCGCCACAGTCGATGGAGAACTAACCGGAGGGCTTGAAATTGGAGCGGCGGTCGGAGGTGTCGAGACTGGAGCAGCAAGCGGAGATGCTGGCTTAGACAGAGTAGTGGCAGTGTGTGGAGTGGAAACGTGGGCGGCGACGGGAGTATTGGCCGGTGCGGCGGACGGAGACTGGCCGCCGAATGTAGCAATTACCAGGCAGATCAACGCAAGTGGAAAGCTTGTCCACCATGGAATCGAACACAAGCTAGCTAGCTGTCTTCACTAATTCACGACAGACTTGTAATAAGATCCCCATGTGTCTTCATGTATCGTATTCTTTGGTTTCTGACCATAAGACTGATTTGTCAAGGAGAAGGGAGAACGAAAAAAGAAGACCTCTTCTACTTATTGGAGGAAACCCCAAAATCAAACCAAAAAACCCTGAAATCAAACCAACGCACGTCTATAACTCAAACTTTCCCACAGACGGCAGCCATTTGATTGAGCCGATTTGGCCGCCTCAATTAAATTACTATTGTGTGAGTAGGTTGTGAGTCTGTGTTGAAGGTGTGAGTGTGTGTTTTTCTCTCTGGTTCCCCTTCTTCTCCCTGGAGCCAAAACTCTCTTTTTCATTCTCCTTTCACTCCTCTCTTATCCTCTTATCTGTATTGGGGCACGTGCCATTTATTGGGCTGATGGGCTGATCTTGGGCCTGGGCCGAGAAGAGAGGGGTTTATGGTGGGCTTTTGGGCCTGGGGAAATGTGCCCAGATCAAATTCATTTCGAATGTATTCATAAAGTTGTTTGTGAACTAGAAATTGGGAAACTCAAATCAACTGGTGGATTTTGTTTCTGCCTTTGTATGTTTGAACGTATATAATCATTTGTCAATCCACTCGTGAGTGCAACGATGCTTTCTTGCCTGATTAAAGGTGACAACTTGTTTGGAGTGATATCTATTTTAGCATGTTTTAATTTTTCGTGGGAAATTCACGGTGCAGGAAAAAAATTACAAGGAGGTTCAGTTAAAATTTTCTATGCAGGAAAATAATAAAACGAAGCACCCTCAACTTCTTTATGATCCGAAATAATCCAACATCTAAATAATTCAGTGTGCACCTGTCTTTTCATATTACATGTGCATGTTAATAAGTTAGGGGGGGATTCTTGTATTTATTAGGTCGTGTCTTGAATAAAATGTTCATTTGTGACGGTTAGGCATGCATTCTTGCATGTGAAAGATTTAATGGAACTAAAACTTGATGTATGCATCTGGTAACTCTCAAATGTTATCTGTTGTGAATCATAATTATTGTGATCTAGGACATAATTAGTATCGCATTTGTTCTCGTGATAGCGAACATCATAAATATGTTCTTCATTTTTAAGTTCGTATTAAGTTACTTCCAATTCATGCTTCTTAGCTTATATTAACTTACTTATGGGGCACATAATAATGAAACAAGTGTTGCAATGCATTAAGTTAAATGGATCTCCTGTCAGGTGGTATACCTGGTATAAAGTGGTCTGGTGTGAATGGGGAAGATAATGTACTTGTTCTCGACTTGCTTGGACCGAGCCTTGAGGATCTTTTTGTGATTTCCTGGTCTGGTCATGAATACTCTACTTTACCCTTGGCTTGTACAGGGAGAATAAAAATTTGACACGTTATGCGAGTTGTAATACCCATCTTGGGATTGGTAAGACAAATGTTTTTTTTCCCTCTCTAATGTTTAGTCCAGAATAAAGAAGAAAGAGTATTAAATGGGGCCTTTTTTTCTGTTTTGTAGAGCAAAGCCGGAGAGATGATTTGGAGTCCCTTGGATACGTACGTACTCCTGTATTTTCTGAGAGGAAGGTATTCCAGTGATTTTCTATGCTCGTGCAATTCTTTGACGTTTGACCACTACGGCCATTCTTCAACATATGTACATATTATTTTCATACTTCCACTACTGCCATTCTTTGACGTTTGACCAACGGCCTGACTATGGATTCTCGAAGCGCTTATTTCGTGAACTGTTTACTCGTGAAGGTGAAGGATTATGCTTAATCTGCCGTTTTTACAATTTCGGTTTGGGAACTAGTTGTGCTTTGGATTTTTGGAATAAAACTGAACTCAAGTACGGTATGTAATTAATAAATAAATAAAATCCAGTCCTCTGTAATTTTATGTAATAATAATAACAAAAAAAAACCTATCAAACCAAGTAAAATTCACCTTCTCTGTAATTTGGCCATCAAACTCACGTACAAACAATTATCAAAATGTCAGCAATAATAACTTACAATTTTAGCAACACGTTTCATATGTGACAGCAAGGTTAAGGAGAGTGACGAGCGCAGCTTCGTTGGCAGAGGTAGAGTCGCATCAGAATATATTCACGGCGCCGGAATAGAGGTGAAATAGAAACTAGGTGGCAATGCTTCTCTCAAAACATCTTCCCTTCTTGTGTTCTCGAATCTCACGACGGCGGCGGCGGCGGCAAAGACTCGCCAACAGCTCCTACCTATTATCTGCAAACTCCGACGATTTGATGGCGGTGATGGCTTCGGTGAGAACGGCGGGGAAAGAGAGGGAAACAGAGCGGCGGTTTGCCTAGGCAGATATCAGCCGCTAATAATCGCGGCGGAATGGGAAATATCGCGGCGGAGGCAGAAGAGAGAAGGCATCGAGCGAGGAGAGATTGAGAGAGGGCTAGGGTTTGTGGGAGTGGGGAGAGAACGTTGAATGAATATGAATTGGGTACCAACGTGGCGTTCTAAAAATTGATTCTATAATGGCAAAATAGGTACTTCATGTGTGCTCAGGGGATCTACTAAATTAAGATCAGAATTTGGATTTTTGACTAGAAGAAAAAAATCAATTGGACCTCCTCATATATATTTTCAAAACTTGGGGATTATCGCACATTATATTTGCTAAAATATGATATTCATATCTGATATGCTAAATCCCACATGAAAATTACTAAATCCTGCATATAATAAAATTTCTCTCTCTCTAAAATCTCAAACGTTGTCTTTTTCTCTCCCGAAACAAGTTCTCCTCCTTGCACAAAAACATCATAAAAACAGTACTATAATTCCAGTTTCGAACTTGAAGAAAACCTTCTCAAATTTATTCTACGATCAAGGTAATTATTCTATCTTAAATTATGTCTACTAATTAACAGTACAATAGGTTTTTCTTCTCTCTTCTCTCTCTCTCTCTCTCTCTCTTTCATTTATTTATTTATTTATTATTATTATTATTGTTAATTCATATCAATTCAATTATTTATTATATTTTTAATAAATAAATGTTATAAATATTTTAAAATTAAATAATTAGAAATTTAAAATATTGAATACATGTTTAATAAATATTTAATAATTAATAAATATTTAGACTTATTTAATAAATACTAAGTAACTTTTAAATATTTAATAAATGCTTAATTTATGTTAAATATTTTTTGTAAAATGTTTAATAAATATGTTTCGTAATTGTTTTTTTTTTTTACAGATGCCTCGTCGACCTAGAGCTGACAAGGAACAACGAACATGTGGTAGATTAAATGATCGTATTGTTACAATGTCCGATCGTGGTAAAGTAAAAGCATCCCATGATGCTCGGCACCATAAGTCTAGCAATTTTGTGGATGACGACAGACACAGTGATCGTATGGATATTATCGGAGAGGGACCCTCATCGCATTCCGTCGATGATGAGTTTGAGTATCCAGACATTGATGAGCACCATTTGTTTGATGATGAGGCGGTTGATGAGCCGATTGATGATCCAATTAATGATGTAGCTGAGGGTAATGGTGTTCCCGTTCAAGGTGTTGGTGTTACGGAACCTAGTCACCCATGGAAGTTGCTAAAGCCAGCACCGGGAGGCCCTAAGATTATCAATATGATCCCGAGTTTTGGTTCTCATATTGTTTTTGATATATGGATGGGCAAATCGCGTGGTGTGTTGAAGTGTCAGTCTCGCATCACATCTCTTCAGACTTGAAGAAGCCCCACTGATCGAGATAGTTTAGAGTTGTTGGAGCAATCGGGGTTGTACCAACTGAAAGATTGCACATTTGCTCATCATAACTCAGCATTGATTTCTGCATTTGTTGAAAGATGGCAGCCGGACACGAACACATTCCATATGCCGTTCGGAGAGATGTCCATCACCCTCCATGATGTTAGTTATATCATGGGATTACACATTGATGGAAAGCTACCACTCGCCATCGGAGACCGAGAGAATGCGATTAGAGCTGCTTCTTGTTGTTTGTCTGCTCCGCTTTCAAAGGTGCGCGAATGGTTTGGCAATAAAGGTCCAACATATGGGGAAGTTGTTGCACTTTACAAGGATAATGACTCCGCTGAGACTCGTGCTCGAAGATATATCTTATATCTTATCGGCTCCACATTGATCGTTGACAAGAGCGGGGGCATGTTTAAGCCGACATACAACCCATTGATTGAAGATATTTCGAAAGTCAATCAATATTGATGGGGTTCGGGTGCATTGGCATATTTGTACCGTCAGTTAGGCGCCGCTTCACGAGCCGAAGTAAAGCAGATAGGGGGTCCGTTGGAGGTACTGATTTTAACTCATAGTTCTTTTATTTATATCAATATTTTATTATGTGGCTAATGAATGTACCATGAAACATTCTTGGATATACGAGTATTTTCCTTGTTTCCGACCCCCTGTACTAGGTACATATGATGAAAGTCGGCCACGATGTATGAAATGGAAGACTCCGAAGAAATTGCAGGAAAACTCGGTTAGGGATATGGGATATTATCGACGATATATCGACAGTTTAGAGGCTAGTGAGGTAAGTTTTAATTTTTAAATTGAGTAATGTTAAGAAATGGATTGTCCTTCAAATTATAATTGATTTTTTGTTAATGTTTAATAAATATTTAATGATTAATAAAATTTTAATAAATTTAATGCTTTATAAATACTGAATAAATGTTAAAAATATTTTAGAATTAAATAATTAGAAATTTAATAAATATTGAGTACAGCTTTAATAAATATTGAATAAATATTTAAATTTTTTTAAATATTTAACATCTATTTCATTTTTTTTATAGGTGGACTGGGTACCGTTTGGAGTGAACGTGTCATTAGATGTACCAAAGATAATTTACCACGGCAAAATTCGGTGGTTGGAAATCGTTGAACCGTATATGCCGGATAGATTTTTGCGACAGTTTGGTTGGAAGCAAATCGTCATACCTGCTTCTCCGTTACCTCCGACTGCCAAGACTAAAAGAGGGAGAAAACATATTACTTATCGTGTTATTTATGATCGTGAAGATGAAAATTGGGATGTCCCCTCGGTACATGAACTGGATTACAACCACTATGGTGTCGATGCGGTTCCAGCTTTTCAGGTTGCTGAAGAATACATGGATTGGTACCTTGAGCGTACACATCCACGTGTACATCCAGGTGATGATCGCATGCAGAAACGACCGCCAAATCCGGTTCCCGCAATATTCAACATCACACGTCTTGCCCATCCGTACTTCCTTGATCGTCCCATCAGATATTCCTGATCACCGCGTGGTACCGGATAGCTTCCTTTTGCACCTGCAGGAGTTATGTAGACCATTTGCTGAACAACTTCGCTTGGATGTGCAACAGTCGAGGCAACCAGAAGGAGACAACGATTCAGGTGTTGACCGGTCTACTAGCATGACAAGCTCTATGAGGGTAAGACGTCATCAGTAGTTAGTTTAATTTGTAGGATTAAAGATGTTGGACTTGTTGGTTTATGATTTTTTTTTATGGATTTGGAGTTCTTTGTTTCTTAGGATTTATAACGATTTTGAATTGAACAATTAGTTTGGATTGCACTTTTATTGGTGAAACTTGTGTAGCAATATGTTCTTTTTTATATATTTGGTTTTACATTTCGTGAACCAAATACATGAAATATTTGAATACATGTTGTTCAAAAGTTGATTTACTACATATATAACAAATAAAATAAAAGTACAACCAACTTTTGTTTATGGATTTATAACGACTTCTTAAGTTTTGATGAATTTATTAATGGTGGAATCATATTGAAAGATGATGATTTTTTTTTTTTAAAGTTTTTGAATTGAACAATTAGTTTGGATTGCACTTTTATTGGTGAAACTTGTGTAGAAATATGTTCTTTTTTATATGTTTGGTTTTACATTTTGTGAACCAAATACATGGAATATTTGAATACTTTTTGTTCAAAAGTTGATTTACTACATATATAACAAATAAAATAAAATTAGCTAAACGATTTATACACTATTTATTTTATTTTCTAAAATTGGGATTGAAAATCGGAGTTCGTTTTCGAATTATTAAACAATTGATGGTGGAAAAAAGAGCAGTGTATGTCGTATTTGAATGCAATTCACACACACTCGCGTCCCGGTTGGACGCGGTTCGCATACACGCCGCGCCTGACGTAAGCGCACCTTGCTGGTATAACGCCACTGCTTGGGGCGCCTATAGTGTGCCAACCGCTTCCAATTTGGGTGCATGGTGTGTGTTCACCGTATCCAACTTGATCGCACACACACTCGGGTCCCGGTTGAACGTGGTTCGCATATACGGCGCCTGACATAAGCACACCTTGCTGGTATAACGCCACTGGTTGGGGCGCTTATGATGTGCTAACCGCGTCCAACTTGGGTGTCTGTTGTGTGTTATCCAACTTGATTGCACATTTTTTTTTAAATCTAACTTAAATTGTTTAATAATTTGAAAAAAAAAATTACTTTTCTCCTCAATATTTGTAATACAATTAATAGTTTAATAATTGTATAATATCAACTACAACAAAATTAAAGAAACATAATAAGAAGAAGAAAAAAATATCAAATCCACAATAATGTGCAACGTATGCAATGTTTCATAAAATCATTAAATCACACTCTATTAATAAGTAAGTCCCAGTTTCCACGTCTAGCTTGAATATTGCTCTCCAAGTGAACAACGTTGTCCTTTCTGTATCGACGCCACATCGTGGTTATCGAAGGTAAAGGACAGTTGGGAGACATATCAAGATAAATTAAATGAGATCGGTCGCGTACTAATAATATGTTGATCTCTAGCTGCATAACACCATTTGAGGAGAAAAGTGGTAAATGATCTGATTTTGTGGATTGCCCGACTCCAAAACCATTGCATTATAACATGTTGCTATGACTGTAGCCAAATCAATCAAGCTCATCCACCTTTCAGGAGGTGCAGGGATATCGTCCCAGTGACACAATGTTTGCATCACACGGCCTAAATAATCACGTGAACCAAAAAAATATGTGTAAAGATCCATATGACCTCTCATATGATGGAAAATGTCATGTTTAACTTGCAACCAATGATTCTGATGTCCTTTAACTGCATGAGCTACACATCTAAATCCAAAATTACCATCACCTCTAACATCAACCCACGATCTGACATCAGGCACAAGCGCATAGTGTATATATCGAAAAAAAACATGGTGGCACCTGCTGTATTGGATCACAGTCAACCGTGGATGTAGATCTTTGTTCATGGTTCGATTTGTTAAAAAATGATCCACGTCCTCTATTTCTTCCTCTTGGAGATTTCTTACTAATCGGATACTCCTAAGCAGATGGATCTCTACGTGTAGAATTTTTCTTCGGTCGACCTCTCGGTCGTTGCGCCGTCGGCTCGATTAACTCTGTCTCCGCAGGATGCAATTTTGAAAATATCATATCAACTATATCACGAAACTCAACATCATATCGGGTAGACATCTCAATAAATAATTCATTTAATCTTTTTACCAGCTCGGCTCTATGATCGGGAACAATAGCAAGTAAATTTGGGTTGACATCAAACGACAAAGTCCTCCAGAAAACATGAACTTCCTCAAAATGAATCACGTCACCGCTACTAATCTTGACTGCAATCTCATGTGCACATGGAAGGCCCCGAGTCTTTCTTAAAAAACAAGTACAAGTACTTGCATCTCTCAGACGTTCTTTATCCAACTTGCGAAGTGCATTGTGCGAAACAACTCCATATTCCAAATTTCGAAAAATTGGATCTGAGGCAATGTTTAATATAATCCTCTTCAACTTTTCAAATTCTGAATTTATCTCGTTAATTTGGCAATCCATATTCGACACATGTTCCGTCCAAATCGTGTCAAAAGCATTGGTCGATGACTCAATCCAGTCCTTAAAACCTGAATGAGCACTCTCAACTCTGAAAGAATTTAAATATCAAGTAATTCAAAACATAGAAAAATATGAATTATAAATTATTCAAAAAGAAGGAAACTAAAAAAATACCTATTTATCGACGTATTGCCTAAGTGGAAAATTTTATCCGTCCAAGCACGTACAAATCTTTCTTTATACATGAGCCATGTATCTTGAAGATATTTCATTAGATCGTAGTGGGCTTCGTATTCAGTCAACATCTTCGCATAGTTCGTAGTAAACTCCTCCTCAAATAATGACATGACTAGTTTTCCCACGGTCCTTGGGCAAATGGAATGCCAAGATTTTTTTTGTTGCCCATGTGTCGTGTAGCATGCAACCCTACATTCCTATTGATATGAAAAATGCACAATAAATGGTATGAACGTGGAAACACATGCTCTATCGCCTTAATAAGGCCTAACTCTCTATATGTCACAATTACTCCTGGTTCTGAGCAACCATAAATTATTGATTTTACTTGACTCAATACCCAATTATAGTGTTCTTCGTTTTCATGATGCATAAATGCAATTGCAACTGTAAATTTTTTTCCAACTGGGTTCACACCTACAATCTCCAGTAATGGCATCTTGTACCTATTACAAAATAATTATTTAATATTAATATTCAATAAAATTTTAAACTCCAAATTAAATTGCATCAACTATAAAACGAATAATTACCTATTGGTCTTATATGTAGAGTCCATGAGTAAGACATACGGGAACAACTTCAGCATATCAGGAATTCGAGGATCAACAAACACCAAGTTAATAACCTCATTCGTCATTGAATCAGTGCGGTGTCGCTGTATATACATGCTCTCATTAATACACTGCATCAAATGTTGAATAACTGTCTTTCCCCCCATTAATTTAATTTTGATTTTGAGTCTTGCATTATAAATGTATTTCAACGAAGTGGTAATATTTGGATTTTCACGTCGAAGATGGTTTAAAATCTTCTTAGGCTTCACGTGACTTCTCGTCAACATCTCGGTAACTTCATACTGCTTCTGCGAGAGTTGTTTATCAAGACCATGCTTCGAAGCCGGAGGATGATTATGCTTCCCGTAAACTATAGAGAGTTCCCATTTATCCTCTGCTTGTAGAGCCCGCTTCAGCTGGAAACCACAATAACATTTTTTTGTGCTAGTACATTTTGTACTTTCTACATCTCTATTCTTTCGTTTCACCTGCTTTTTCCCAAACCGATCACAGGTGACGTATACTCTATCACAAAAAGTATGACCTATAATTAGCTTAA